CCCCCCGCCCCCCACCGGGGTGAGGCCCCAGCGCACGGCGTCTGGCAGCCGGCGAGCAGGCCTGGCCCGGCCGACGTAACACTGTTTGTAATGAGAAATCTAAACAGGGAATGGCAGCGAGGCATGACAGGAATGTGTTTCCATTGGAGAAGCCCGTGCAGAGAAAAAGCATAAGCAAAGCCATGTCCAGAAGGCCTTTCAGCTGTCCAGGACGGAAGACTGATGTTATTGTACACGGGCTGTCACGCTGCCAGCCCTCCCTCACGGGTTTGTTTTCTCTCATGCTCTCCTTTTCCCTCCCCCTCTCCCTCTCTCCCCTGCCTTCCTCCCGGGGCCGGCTGTTTGCTCAGGTGGACAGTGACACCGTTTGGAACGAGCTGCACTCGGCCGGGGCGGCACGCATGGCGGTGGGCTGTGTCATCGAGCTGGCGGCCCGCGTGGCCTCCCGGGAGCGAAGGCGGGGAGGGCGGCCACGAAGGTGTGGCAGCCCAGGCGGCTCTTGGAGGCCTCCTCGGGACGGCCTTGTGTGGATAGGCTGAAGCAGCAGTGGGCATGACAGCGCAGGGTGCTACAGTCCGAGGTGACGTCACTCATCGTGTGCACATCTCTGGCAAGTGGCCGTGGCACTGCTTTTGGAAGGCATTGTTTAAATTATTATTTCTTTTTAATGTGGTGGTTTAGTCACGTGCGTAGCCCCAGCATACCACTCAGAGAGAGGGCCAGCAAGAGGGGGCCTGCAGGCTAGGGGGAAGAGGGAGGTGGCTGGTGAGGAGAGCGATGACCCAGGAGGTGGCTTTCCACCCCCGCGCTCTTCTCTCTGGTCCCCTTCCCTTTCCTACCTCCATGCCACACGATCTGCGAGGCATGATGTACAAAACCCAAATGATCCGCAGTCTAAACAATTTATAAATGCTCCAGACCTGACGGACTTTGACATTTCATTTGGTATTTTAACAGCCCTATTTAAAGGTATGCCATATGCAGCCAGAGTGCAGGCTTGCCCCAGTAAACGTTGTTGGAGCTAGCATGTCTCCTTAATGAAACTGTTTATTCACTTTCCAGTCCGAATACTAATGGATTCAGTCCTGTTTCAAGAATCAAATTAGAAATAAATATTTTAGAATTAGCATTGTGTGATGTTTTTAAAATTCATAAATGTATCTGAAACTGAGAATAATATCTGTCTAATTTCAATCAAAATACATGAGCTACATATATGGGGAGCGGTGCACATGTTTATGTGTGTATATACATAGATGTAGAATATATAAGTACATAAATGACAGCATGGTCAGGTGAAATGCAGTTCTATAGCTCTGACCCAACTTTCATATTGAGACACTAAAATCATTAGTCAGGTACATGTTTTGAACTCTCAGATCAAGGACGGGGTGCATCATATAAGATCCTGTTGTACATACTTTCTGATGGGTACTTCATCCTCATCAAGCATTTTGGGCAGAGTAGGATTCAATACACAACTCAATGTGCATCATTCCCACCCAACTAATGAAAGTGAAGCAGGAATTTTTAGGTAATTTTTACCTTTGGCAACTGTACGACATACGTTGGTCACTAAGGCAATATAAAAGAAAGTTTTGGTAAGAATAATGAGATGTCCTGCATGCAGTTGAAATGAGCAGGGTCTGCTTCAGAATCTTTACCACTTACCTCTGTACACTTGTGGTGTTTTTCCGTGGTTTGAATGCTCTTGGTTGTTTACGTGTGTGATGGATAGCTAAAAAGAATCAAACAGCCACTATGAGACCTTAGTTGCTACTGGCATTGCAACAGTTTGTAAACAAATATTTTAAATTTAGTACCAGTTTGTAGTTTACTGTATGATTCTTGTTGATCCGAAATAGAATCTTTGCCTACAGTGCAGAGAAATGAAGCAGTCTCATGCAACCTCCAGTTGAAACATGGGAAATGTAGTTATTCAATAGACATGCCATGTGGTTGGTTTACACCAAAAGATCAAGAAAATAGGGACGAAAAGAATTTGCTGTGAAAGCGACTCGGGAATATTCACGCCATTCCTCATAGGTGTTTATCTAACCTGCTTCTACACTTCCAGCATGAAGCCCAGTGACTTACATACCACCATGCCAACTGTATGAACTAACAATCTGCATGTGGTATTTATGATTTAAGGTTATGGAAAGGTTATTAAGGCCTGACTAACAGAATAAAAGCATACTAGCAGAAGTTCTGGAAATGCACCGATCCTGACCTTAGCTGTTTTGGTGGAGTCCTCCCATGTTTGCTTTGTCACTGCATCCACTGCATCCAAAACCTGGGTTTTGCTGGCAAGTTGCTCCCAGTGCCCTCATATGGTAAATGTTATTAGTGAGATTTTTGCAGTGTATTCTGGAATTTTCTACATGGTGAACAGGGTGAGATTTTAGGTAGCTCTGAGATTTTAGCTCCACAGATCTGTATGTTCCAATCTACCTTTATGAAATTACGTGTTGCTTTTCTGTCTTCCTGCCATTTTCATCTAGAAACATACATGTTGCATTGATCAGCTGTTTCTAGTATAGGGAAAATGACAATTCTGTAGTCTGCTTGTGAAGATCTGAGGGGAAGGAAGTGAAGCTGAGCACTTCCATGTGCATTCATTGAGCAAATATGTGTGTGAAGCAACCATTTGGGGCCTGTACTGTGAGCACTGAGTGGGATGATTAAACTCCGACGGGAATCTGGAATGATCTGCTGCAGCTTCAGAATCTTTGGATGACGAAAAAATGCCTTTCAAGAGACGTGTGTAAGCTATAACAGCTCTGCAACATGTAAACAGCAAGATGAGAGCAGCAGAGAAACACGCTGTAATTTTTCCCTGGAAGTTTACCACTGTGGGTTGCTATCATACAGTGCACTGTCAGTCTGATGTCATCTTAAGAAAAAATATTATGATACAGGACACACTGGTTTGTTCTGAAATCCCACAGTTCCCTGAGAAGATCTGCATGTCCTGAAGTTCACAGTGGCAGATTTACGATACAGCAGGGACTTGCCACAGAGCAGTGCTCCAGATTGCAGCAGAGGAGGCAATGGATTATATAACCACTGCACTGGACAATCACAGATACCTTTTTCTAGAACAGCTATGGCGACATTAGAATAACCTCAGCGTAGACCTATCTAGCATAGACAAAATCTGACACAAGAATCCTCAGAAATGAGAAACTGAAGTAATTCATTTAACAAGTGCTTTTCTGACTTGAGAATTATCAAATATATTGATGTAATGGAGTATGAGCAGCCCACTTATTTCTTACAGCTTGATGAATCAATATATATGTTTTTTTAAAGTCTAACATGGTTTTCATAAAATTAAAATGAATATAATAGGTTTTTTATGGACATGTGTTCAATTAATTAAAAAACCCAATTATTTGCAATACTGAAGATAAAAGTCTTCACTGCCTAGCTAGAGTGTAGAAGCTAGCAAACATAAGCTGCCCTGTATTGACTGGCATCTGATGTTTAAAGTCCATTGCAGGAAGGACAGGACAGTTCAATTTCTATGCTTATTCCATTGTCTCTACTGATATCGCTTGCTGTTGCATAGACTGATAGCAATAGCTTTGAACTATAGGTGTGTGCTGCTAAGAAAAGGGTTGAGATTGCAAAATAAATTATGAAAGTCTGCAGAACAATTGAGAGATTCACTACAGAGCTGGGCATGAGTCAAACTCATACGCAAGGCAAAAGGTTCTTTACTTCATTCTGAATTTCCTGAGATTACCAGTCCCATTTCACACAGGTCTCATCTGAGAACAGCAACATTTTGTTCATCTGATTTGGACAGTGTTCAGAAACTGACCAGGAGTTAAGAGTTCTCTTCATTGCAGTTCAGACCCCTTGTGAGACATCAGATTTCTTTGATCTCCTTGACTAATGGGGAAAACATCGATATGACAGTGCTAAGGATGTCAGACAATAGGTTTTACTGAAACTTTACTGCAGCTGTAATAGTATATTACTGTGCAGTAGTTTTTTTTTTAAATCAGGACAAATTCTCCCTTCTCTGGGGAGTCTTAGTCTGGATGTTTTTTGTTTCATTATGTCAAACAATAGAAATTAAGGACTTTGGGCATTTGTTTAATAACATAATGAACACTCATTGAGATAGTTTTGATATACTTTTGAAACAACATTTAACAGAGAATAAAGAATCACACCACTGAAATATACACTATGATAAAAGTGATGTTCTACTGAGTCAAATGCTATGCTTTTCCTTTTTTCATTAATTTAGTTACATACATGGTGAATGTCATCTTGGCAATATTATGGTAGGAGAGGACCCTGAATATTGCATGAGGATCACCCTTTTTTGAGCTCTTTATGCTTTAGAAAACCTGCTGATGCATGATGAGATACTTATATGGAATCAGTGCCACAGCTGTCCTGTCTAGCTGTTTTTCTGTATCTACATTTGTTCCTTTCTCATTTCCCCAACAGATTTATGTAGATGGCTCTTAATAATCTGCTGGCCGACCGCAGGTCTTTAGAAGAGTATGTGGAAAAGGGTGAATAGAATTCCACCGTAGTCATTAGCTAGATCCAATAAATAACTCTAATAGATAAGAGAAGTCTTATGATATACGCCTTGGGGCCTGGGGAAGAAAGACGTAGTGCCCTGCATGTGATTTCTTTCATGTAGTATAGCTCGTGAACATGGAAATCATTGTCTCTAGCCTCTGCCTAATGACTGCACTTTCAGAAAGAGTGGCCTAAAAGATCTGCATCTGCAGAGAGCATGTATTTCCTGGAAGTGTCTCCTAAGGATCTCCTTCCTCTTTTGCATTGCCACAGGAAAATGGAGATGTGCTGCAAGCATGTTGCAAATGACACTCACGGTGTCCCAGTCACCGTTCTGTAATAACGAAGCAGATTTCAGGAGAGCATGGTCTAATGGCTTGGTGGCACTGGGAGGTGCTGTCCTGCCCTGCCTTCCCAATTAGTTCCCAGCCTAGCTCGGCTTCTTCCCTTGCATCGACTCTGACGCTCAGCTCAGTTCACCTCCCCTCCCTGCCAGTGTGCTACTTCGCTCACAGGCAGCTAACCACAAAGATGCTCTCCCCTTGCCTGCACCCGGCCATCCTGCGCAGCAAGAACTTCCCTCCTGATGCCGAACTGGACCAGTACAGAGGTCATTCAAACCCCGCATTATACGAGTTTTACAGGAAAATAGAGCAGGATTTCTATACCTGTGGTCTCTCTTGAGTTTCTGATTTCATTTATAGCTCCTATAGCCTGCAGAGAATCTCACCTTTAGGATTCAGCTTGCCAATTTTTTTTTTCCTGAAAGCGTTTAAGTTGCTAATATTTCCATTTTGTTAAGAAAATTATTCATACTGATGATGCCACCTTTTTTGTTGCCATATATTAGGTCTTTATTAAATGATTAATGCAACTTTAAAGAAGTTGGAATTCAGGTAGT